GGCAAGATGAGTTGTTCTGTAAATCCATTCTCGTGTATGTCCTCATAAAGTCCACAAAATAAAGGCATGATTCACAACTGGCAGTATGAGCCACCTATGCACCCCCTGATAGAGAAGGCGGGGGCGGTGCCTCTTTGATTGACAGCCCAGGAGGAGCTCCGGGCCATCCCACGAGAGGGCAACACCGACGACGCGGCTCCTTCACGAACTATCTCGTGTGGATAGACAGGCATATTCGGAAAGAAGCAGTTACCCAGTTGCTTTGTTCACAGGCTGTGTGTAAATAAAAGTACAGACTACGCACCGCAATAGCCATCTTTTGTTTGGTTTGTTAGAGGCATTTCCACAGGGAGGTCTTGAGCGTGTTCCTCAATGTTAATCATCCAGAAGAGTTTGGTATGTATGTATGCTTTGATATATATCCAGTAGTGCTGAGCGTTGAATTGTTTGATTGTACTGTATTGTGTGACACGACCTCTGTGTGTAAGAGAGAGTGTGTATGTGCCGATTGAGCGTGTGGCGTGAGTCGCAATGCGAAATTGTGCTGAGTGTACAACCAGCTCACAGTCGTTTTCTTAAAGTCTCAAAGTCACTTTATTGTCAAGTGTGTTACATGCATGACATACAACACAGATGAAATTACAGTCCTCTCTCTTGGTCCCACGGTGCAACCAAGCAATTAAAAAATTAATCACAATTAACAGACATAAATAAACAATAAACAATCGGCGATCAACACAAGATAAATAATCAAAAATGTAATAAGCTTAAAATAAACAACAGTCAAGAATTTTTAAAATGTAAAATATTATTTAAATAAAGTATTTGAGTATCGTACGATGTTTGTCATGAGCTTGTTTTGAAAGGGTAGGAGAGAAACAGGTTTGACGACATAGAGGGATCCGTGTGGGCAATATACAGTGCCGAATATATGGATACTCAATACAGGTTGTTTTGGGTTAGATCGCGTAAATATGTGTCGTTAAACCCGCCACCACCCGACACAGCCAATTGGTAAGATTTGTCACGTAAACAGAACATGCAAATTCGTTACTAGTACAGCACACTGGTTGTGTATTGGAGAGCAAAGCCACAGCATTTAAAGTATGAGTACGACGTTTCGACAGTAATTTCAACTAGCTTAATCTTCGTTACTAGTGTTGTACTAGTAATGAATTGGCAAGTTCTTTTTACGCGACAAACCTTACTAATTTGCTGTGTCGGGTGGTGGCGGGTTCAACGACACATAGGCTCGGATAAGAAGATAAACTAAAAGACAAGATGCCGTTACCTTCTGCGACAAATGCACCTTATGGCGGTACCCCGGCTCTCGCACAATGTCCGTGATGCAGTCGTGTTTAGTCTGTGTTGATGGTCGGCGATGTGGCAATCGACTCATCTCGACGAGCTGTACTCAGGATGCACCACCACGGTGAAATACCGAGAGGCTTCAGGGTTTCAGCGCAATCGTCCTCGCTACGTTTCAACATCGCAAAGTAGCACCGATTTCGGATTGATTGGTACCCAAGTCACGGAGTTAAGTAACACCACTGGAAAAAATATTGTCCCAGAAATAAAGTATTTCATTGCCTCAGCCATTTAGTATTATTTGGTATCCCGGGGTACCGCCATGAGGATCAAATCCCCAACCCGAGTTTTTGTCCCGGAATCTGTGGTACTGAAGACTTTCTGTCGGTCCAAAACAGCAACAGTACGTATATGTGCATAGGATTGATGTATGCTTTGTTTATATATATTTCCTGCTATTTTTATATATTGAAATAGCCCAGGTGGAATTTGTATTACCGCCTGACAAGAGAGAAACTCCAAGCTGCATGTTATGTCTTTGCATTTGGAGGCTTGCCCCCTCTTTTCTCTTCGTGCCTGATGAAGACCGCTTGTGTTGCGATCGAAACGTCGTGGGTTTTTTGCTTTTATTTTCAATTTATTATTTAACATGTTTATTTAATTGAATTTTATTAGCTTTTATTTTCGATCTACGTGACTTTACTGAAAGAACCAAGAATATGTTACGTCTGTTATGCCTGGATTATTGGTCAGATGTGCAATGGGTTCGATTGAGGCACACACTCAACTTGGAGGCAACACTATTAACCCATAACAACCAACGGGCACGTTATACACAGGGTGGTGACCACCGTTCCTAATCTCACTAACACTCGGGGAGGGAACACTCCATAACGTGACCAGGGCAGGTTAACTGGCTGCCTGGGGTCACGGACGAAGGTCGGAGCCTGGAGGAGCGTTGATGGCATCGTCATCCCAGGGTCGAACAGCCCCGCTTTCTGTTCACGCCCAGCTTATAACCGCTGCGGCGTGGCTGGCTCCGCCCCAGGCCACGCCCCCCTTCTAGATCCTTCGGGAAAATCCGGGCCCCCAACCACGTGACCCCCAAGCTCCCCCCCTGGAACCCCTAGCCCCCCTTTATCGGGTCACGTGTCCTGTTGGGTTCATGCAGTGTCACGGCCTGACACGACCCCTGTGACACCCGCCTACAGCACCCATATCGAGCCAACACAGTAGTGACGTCATATGTCCCTACGCTCGTACAGTCCCGACAGTAGTGACGTCGTATGTCACCCATATCGAGCCAACACAGTAGTGACGTCATATGTCCCTACGCTCGTGCATTCCCGACAGTAGTGACGTCGTATGTCACCCATATCGAGCCAACACAGTAGTGACGTCATATGTCCCTACGCTCGTACAGTCGCGACACAGTAGTGACGTCGTATGTCACTCCAGATGCAAGATCATTTAAACGGAATTCAAGAACTAATCCCTGCTGGCATTAAAATTAGACTCAATTTACAAGAGCAAGTGTAACCAATACGTTGTTGTCCACATTCGCACACGAGAATACATCAATTGTGCATGATAACATGAGTGGGATACAATGTACAGGGTGGTCCCGATGTCTTGTGACCCCCCCCCCCCCCACCATTTAATTATCTAAAACGTAATATGTTGTATACCAATAGGTGTGAAAATATAAATCAATTAGCATAAGTACCCGGCGTTGCCCGGGTGAAAAATATATTTCTTAATAACCTTACATATATACACAGATGGGCTGCTACCCCTGCCCCCCCCAGCCACGATCTCCTCGGCCGCTGTGCAGTAATATGTACGGCTTATAGTGTGGTGGGGTGTCGAGGCCTAGTACCGTGCAGAGCCTCTGGCCTCGCCTAAATTGCCCACCCGGCTGAGGCTGGGTACGGGTGCCGTTCCCCCCCCCCCCCCCCCCGCGCTACAATAATACTGTCTAATCGCTATAATTTTATTATCTACCGACCCTATAATAGTAATTGCACACATTGGGGTGGGGGGGGGGGGAGTGAAGAGGACGTGAAACTTTGATTAATTTACCTCAGAGTCGCGTGTTAATGCGTGCGCATATTTTTAACGGGAATTAAAAATGACGTCCACCCCGCAGCGAATGCGTCGCTACCCGTTGCCAGGGGCAACCGCCGTGGAAAACCAAACGGACCAATCGTGTCTCGCAAATCCCTCACGTATCGTCCAATGAAACTGCGTATGGTCTGGCGACACACACACACACACACAGACAGACAGACCGACAGACAGACAGATTTGCGATTTTATATATATAGATAAGCAAAATAAAAAATGCACGGGGTCAATTAAATGCGGGGTCACACGACATCTGGACCATCGCCCTGTTTACATGGCCTACTCCACAGGGCCGCCTCAGTGCTGTGGATCTCTGAACAACCACCATTTGTTGACTGCTCTTGTTGTCCAATCAGGAAAGCAGCTTGCAGTGACTTCCAACTGTGGCAAACTGAAAGCGAAATATAACGGCCCTGTTATCACAGGGCAATGCGGTTATGCAAAGATCAATAGGCCACTGCAGCAGAACACTTTTGTTAGATGTGTGGATGGCGTTTATGCACCTGGGGGTAGCTCGGGTTCCTGTTTGTGTTGTAATGGGGAACTCAATGCCTCTTGCGCCCAGGAGACGAAGTTGTTATCCTTTATTTAATTGCCATTTACATGGAACAGTTTGCACATAGGGGCCGTCCATAAATGACGTCACGTACCTGGGGGGAGGGGGGGTCAGACATTTGTGATGATATGTGACGAGAGGGGGGGGGTTGAGAAATGAGACGTCACATCAAAATGCGCAACTTTAAATAAATATAGACAACACGTTCTACTCAATTAAATATACTTTTTAATAAATGTTTTCTCCTACAACATCAGAGTGCAGCGCCACATTAAATACGCACTACAATGACAATAGTTTAAAGGGATTTGAAGCATGTTTTATTTTTGGGGGGGGTGGGAGCAGAGCTTTGTGACGTCATATTTGAGGGGGAGTCTGACTTTCTGTGACGCCGCGTGACGAAGGGGGGGGTCCAAAATCGTGTGACGTCATTTATGGACGGCCCCATACTCAGTGTTGCAGCGTCAGTTGGGAATTGCCCCATGTAGGGTTTTAGAGCAGAGTGCACGGTTTAAGTGCTCTTATTGTATGAAAATATCTCGCCAATTTTCCCCTAAGCAAGTACTTTCTCGTGACCGTATCGAATGCCTCTTCAGTTAATCAAGAACATTGTGATGCTGCGTTTTCATTGGCGCGCAAGCCCAAACGACGAATACTCAACGCATTCGTCAATAACACTGCCCTAACGAGGAAAACGTAGTGTACATATAAATGCTGTAATGGGCGATATTTAGACGTGAAATATGAATGGCCGTTGTTAAAATCATCGCCGAGTGTATAAGTCAATAGCAACACTGCCTTAAAGTGGAGACAAAATATAGTAGGTGACGTTGTGGTAAAATGTGCCCCTTCATCCCTGCTATGTATAAGGCCCTGTTATTTGTTTTCCGCTCTAGGGAAATGTTGACAAACGTGTTGAGTTTGTTCCCTTTTCAGCTTCTATGCAAATGGGTATTTTAGTGTCACGCCTTGAGCAGGGAGGGGAATGCAGAGCGTGTGGAGGACGGGGTGCAACATGCCATCGCCAAAAATAGAATGTCCCCCTGGGGTTTTCAATAATGGGAGACAGCAGTGCAGTTTAACGAGTGCAGTGCGACTTTTACAATGCAATTGTATCATCATCATGGCTTGGCTTCGCGAACGAAGATCTAGGAAGGACATCCACGTCTTCTGCAAGCGCGCTGGTGGCTGACGAGGCCTATGCGGGACAAGCAGGTCCTGCCACAGCGGCTGCAAGTATAGGTCTGATCTGGGATGGGTGCTGAGGGATCCATGGTTCTTCCTCCTTCTCCTTTTCTCCTCCATACGGGCCCTGCGGGTATCTTCGAAGAAGGAGGTGGCCTGGTGGACTGTGTGCCGCCAGGAGTTTCGATCAGCTGCTTGTGTTGCCCACTGACGGTGATCGATGCAGCAAGCAGTGAGGGACTTCTTCAGGGAGTCTTTGTATCGCTTTCGTGGTGCCCCTATGTTGCGATGGCCAGAGGACAGTTCCCCATACATCACAATCTTAGGTAAGCGGTGGTTCTCCATCCTGGCGAATTGCCCTGCCCAACGAAGCTGTATCTTGAGGACCATGGCCTCGATGCTGATGACCTCCGCTGACTCGAGGACTTCAGTGTTGGCGACGAAGTCACTCCAGTGAATATTGAAGATTGTGCGGAGGCAGCGCTGATGGAAACGCTCGAGGAGACTCAGGTGACGACGGTACGTGACCCAGGACTCAGCGCCATACAGGAGAGTGGTCAGCAATACAGCTTTGTAGACGTTGATGTTCGTGTCTCTTTTAAGGTTGCTGTTGTTCCAGACACGTTTGTATAGTCTGCCGAATGCACTGTTTGCCTTGGCCAGCCTGTTGTCGACTTCGTTGTCGATCTTGGCGTCAGACGAGATCACGCACCCCAAGTAGCTGAACTGGTGGACAGCTTTCAGTTCTGTTTGTTCAATGAAGATGTTTGGTGGATGATGCTCCTCATCGGGAGCGGGCTGATGAAGAACTTCAGTCTTCCTCAGGCTACGACTACAACACATCCATGTATTTTTCCCCCGATAAACTAATTACACTAATAACGTGATGTATTATACGTTCTACTAAATCTTGATATTGTTGTAATTAATGGAATTTGTAATGTGCAATTGTATTAAGGGACTGTGTTGTTGTCTGTGGATTGGGACTGTTGTTGTTTTTCTGCCTCACCCAAGCTTGCATGTATTGTTGAAAAATCGGCAGAAATGTATCTACTCTTGCGATTTGTACGTACTTCCATACTTATTTTCCACGTATTAATGACTTGCTTACCCATACATAATTTGCACTCCTATCGGTTTTTGTATTGTGTTAACTTTCTGACCTGCCCCTCCTGGACATCTGTGAAAAGAGCTTCGTAGCTCATCGAATTCCTTCAGTCTAAATACAGATTAATAAATAACATCTATAAGTACATATACAGTAAATGCTATGAAGCAAAATCCAATAAACTTTTGGATCCATAATAGAGGTTTTTGGGGTTAGATCACGTAAATATGTAGCGTCGGGAATGCACATTGTATACCGTCCGTATATACACTTACCTGCAGTTGCGGGCACAGGCCCATAGGGGGTGGCACCCTGAGCTGCGGAAGGCCAGGGAGAGCCGGACCATTGAGGGGGCAGGTTCGCCCCCCCCCCACCCAGACCCCAGGTAAGGGGTTTGGGGGTTCTTCCAGAGTCCCCTGGAAGGTTCCAGAGAGGGGGCGGTACCAGGGGCGGAGAGTCCCTGGGAGGTGTATGAAAGGGGCACCTCAAGCACAGCTCGGAGCAGTGTTCTGAAGACGAAGAAGGAAGACCAGCCTAGCTAGGACCCTGGAACCCCGGGACCCAACATCCTTGTAAGGGCCGGGGCCGCGCGCGGACCAGTGGTCAGGACCTGTACCTTGGCTGGGTCGGGTCAGAGTATCTCCCTAGCTAGGACCCTGGGACCTCGAGCCCAACATCCTTCTAAGGGCCGGGCCGAGCTCAGACCAGTTGTCAGGACCCGTACCTTGGCTGGGTCGGGTCAGTTAGCCTCCCCTAGGGCACAGATAGCCTGAGGGCTGAGAGCCAGGTTAACCCAGTGTGAGGGCACGCTAGCCCGGAGGCTGAACCTCCATAGATAGTGGGAGTTAAGGGGAGTCTTGTTAAAGTTTATAAATAAACCATGTTGCCTCTAAGACAACGTCTCCATTCTCCATGAAACCCACTACGAATATATAAATGTGTTGTTAAAACCCGCAACCATCCGACACAGCCAACTTGTAAGGGTTGTCACGTAAACAGAACATGCCAATTCGTCACTCGTACAGCACACCGGTGTGTTGGAGAGCCAAGCCACAACATTTACAATCTGAGTAAGACGTTTCGCCAGTAATTACAACTAGCTTCATCAAGCGACAGCCAGATTTGTTGAGAAGTCCAACTGTTTCGTTCCTTATATAGAGGCGTAGATATGGTTACCACACTTCTGTGCTCTTGCGCTAAGTGGGGAGGGATTAATGAGTCAACGTACATTATGCCTGTGCATTATGCGAACCCTTTGATCTTGACCTTCCTGTCCATTGTGTGTAGTATGGTGCCCTTCATATTCATGGAATTAAATAATGTATTATTTGATGATTCGCTTCCACGTTGCACTAAGGCGGTAGCTATCTGAACAGTTAAAATTATTTTTATTTCTTTCATTTTCGATAGATTATCTAATTAGTGTTGGCCAGTAAGTAGGTAGTTATGCACAGAGCTTCAACATCAAAATCAATTGAGTGTCCTTGTTGGCACGCATGTTTTGCTACTGCTGACAGTTGTATTTGAGAGTATTTAATATTTCTCTGATGTTATTTTAGTCTTGTGCTGATCATTCGTCCTGTTTGCTCAACGTAACATTTGCCACATGTGCAGTTAATCCTGTACACAGCTTCTGTTGATAGCTTCGGTAATACATATTTTGTACCAGATATAAATTTCTGTATTTTATGTACCGTGCCATATCTGACTCGGATGTTTTGTTTTACCAAACATAATGCTAGTTTTCATCAGTTACTCCCGCAATGTACGATATTTTGATCATTTTAATTACTTGTGCAGTTTCAATGCTCGTGTTATTTGATTTGGTTTTGGCATTCTATGCCCTGTTGATTTGTGCATAATTGTAACTGTTCAATTGCAGTGCTTGTTTAACATGCTGAATTTCACTTCTCAGATTGTCACCATCTGACACTTTTTTAGCTCATGAATGAGCATCTTGATAAGAGAAGATTTCTGTATGGGGTGATGGTGTGACTCTGCATTCAGATAGGCGTCAGTATGCGTTTTCTTCTTGGTTATTTCACCATTTAGACCCCATCCGACCAGAATATCTAGAAATTGTAGACTTTTGTCAGCTTCATCTTCCATGGTGAACTGGATGGATGGGTTTTGCAAGTTGATATGATTTAGAAATGCGTACAGTTTATCTTTGCCATGTGGCCAGACCACTAATGTGTCATCCACATATCTAAATCAAGCAAAGGGTTTGTGTGCTTGAAGCTATTGCTTTTGTTTCAAAATATTCCATGTATAAATTCGCTATTACAAGAGACAAAGGAGAGCCCATTGCTGCCCCTTCCTTTTGTTTATAGAAGTCACCTTTCGAATAGGTTTTCCCCTTTTTTCTGGCAATAAACAGGTGTTGAGATGTTAAAACACCAAACTGAAACCTTTTACAAGGAATCATGTCTGCATTAACCACAATACTTGTGGTCAGAATGCAAACAAAACCATACTCTGATAATATATGCATTAGGGGCTTTGGGCCTTCCAAGGCGGACGAGCCCAACTCGCCTGGAGGCCCAGCATCGTGGACTCGCTCAAAGACTCGATTTGCATGATCCCCGCACAGTGCACACTCCCACACCGTCATGGGTTGTTGCACTCGCATGAGTCGTGGCAAGTATTTGGCTGATCCTGCTCGCCATCGAGCTCACAGGCGTTGTTACACGTTGTGGGTGGGAGATGTTGATTGTGGGGATCTTGTATGACGCGATTGTTGGGTTCTTAATTGTTTTGGCTTTCGTGTGTTTTTTTTATCTCGGTGTATATATTGTACAGTTGGGGTTGGGACATTTATTGCGCTGTTGTGTTATTGTTGGAGCACACTTGCTTGTTGTTTTTTTTATGTATGTCCGTCGGTTGCTTTCTTGCGGGGGAGTTGGCAGCCGGGACGGCTGGATGCTACGGAGGGGGGGGGGGGTGAGAGGAAGGTTATTGACTCAGCAATAATTGGAAAGATGTCATCAACCACTTTGGGTCATGACTTGACAGCCAGCTATGGCTGCAGGGTTTTGGTAGTACATGTTGTTTATGTCATTTTTTGTGAAAATTCTGTCAGTTCCTATGATCACAGTTTCATTGCTTTCATAGCTTTATTTTGGTGAGTTCGAAAAGTTTATTCGTTTAGCCTTGTTTGTTTGTTGTGGTACGGAGTAAGACTGATGGCCTTAATCTAAGTTGTCTTGTAGTTGTTGTTGTTTGACTTGCATCCCACTGGGATTTCTGCACACAGCGTTGGTGTACGGTGCTTTTTCTGCAATATTTTGCTGTCTTTTCTTGGATTTTCTGTTTGCACTTAGTCACATATTCACTTTAAGATGTTTACTTGTTCATGTTTTTGTTTTTTGTTTGTTGCGGTTGGACCCGATTCAAGAGCCGAATGGCTCACACCTAATAAATGAACTTGAACTTGACTTGTGTTTACTTGTCGATCAACCTCCACTGTCACCAGAGTGATGTGGGGAGCGCGGTGCAGGGATTTTTGTTGCTGCATTGGCATTCTACCGCATTAGCATTGTTGCTGCATTGGCACTCGTGGAACACCGATGTTCTTGGTGCTGTTGATAGCTACATTGGCATTGTTGCATTGGCATTCGTGGCACCACCCATACTCCTGGTGCTGTTGATACACTTGGGCTACGCCCATTCCCAAACCTTTATAAACAGCTAGCCTTTAGAGGCTGACTCCTTTGCGTGATGACGACCGCTTGTGTTGCGATCGAAACGTCGTGATATTTTTATTCACTTTATTTTTTTTATTTCTATCTTCTTGACTTTACTGAAAGAACCATAGAATAGTTGTAATTACTGGCGAAACGTCGTACTCAGATTGTAAATGTTGTGGCTTGACTCTCCAACACACCGGTGTGTTGTGCTCGTGACGAATTGGCATGTTCGGCTCACGTGACAACCCTTACTAGATGGCTGTGTCGGATGGTGGCGGGTTTTAACGACACATTTATATATTTACGCTATCTAACCCAAAAAACCTATTTCGGATATTGGTCGCGAAAGCCTACTACGTGTTAAACAAACTTAACACATTAAAACATTGCAATATGTTCTTTGAGTCTTTTTTTTGCAAATAATTTGGAAACCTTATTAGAGCCTTTGCCACAAGTTGGTAAAATACAATACAAAATCATAAAATAGGACTTCCATTACAATACTGTATTACAATTATGGTCCAGTAGTTAACACACTTTTCTGAAGTTATTTGTTTTTTTGGAACAAATACGCTTAAATGTGTGGCTTGCTAAAATTTTAACAATTTAACAAATGCAGATTCCCTGTGAAACACATTTTTGTGATACTGCATTGGCAGTGGTGCATAAGCACAACAAAAAACCCCTCGATAACACAATTTGAATAGAAATGTGCTATTAAGTAGTGCCATTATACCTTAAACGTAGCCTGCATTTGTTTCCTTTTAGGGTAGTTTTTTTTACGAATGTATTCACTTACTGTTTCATATAAAGGCATCCCATATCATGCCATCGCAGATGACAGAATTGTTTTTAGATTGGAAGGCCATAAGTTAAATAGAGATGCTTTCCAATGATTTTGCTGTTAACTAGAACATGTGCTTTTAATGATGGGGCTAAAAGCATTCGAGTCAATCCTGCTCAAGACTTGGATTTTCTGTGTGGTATTTAAATGCATGTTCGTATCATTAACCTGATGCTTAAATTGATATTGTTCATGCAGTTTTACATATGAACCTTATGGCGGGACCCTGGGGTCTCATAAGCCCCCGGCTCTCGCATAAACATCTTATAATGTAAACAAAAACTTTGCTCTTTTTCACCAATGGGTTTGAAGGATGGTGGCAAGTGTTGTCTTGTTAAACTATGCCTTTAAAACTGAAAACTACTTACCTGCAGTACCTCTATTTAAATAAACTATCGAAAAAATAATTGACACCCCTCTGTCAATCATCGTGTTTCTCAGTGTGGATGTGTGAACACACTTTGTAAACAGTAAATAGTACGCGTTTTCAATGCGCTGTTCATATTATAACAAGCGTTTATACCAATGTTACTCTACAGAGTAGTGGGTCGTCGTTCTTATCCGCATTGATATTTGGGGACTATGGCTTAACCGCAAAAAAAAACCTATCAGCACAGATGCATACGGACAAGAGAAGTATCAAACAGGAGGAATTAACGGTGCAACGTATCTCATCAGTTAAATATCTGCAGGTAATAGGATTGTCATCGATTGATCCTGGCTGCAGACATTGGTAGGTCACAATAATGAAGATAACAGAGCAGTTTCACTGTATTATGCTTACCGTTATGACAAATATAGGACTTAAGTCGCAGAGGTGTGGACTCGAGTCATGTGACTTGGACTCGAGTCAGACTCGAGTCATGAATTTGATGACTTCAGACTCGACTTGGACTTGCATAACAATGACTTTGTCCCACCTCTGAGGTGTGGACTCGAGTCATGTGACTTGGACTCGAGTCAGACTCGAGTCATGAATTTGATGACTTCAGACTCGACTTGGACTTGCATAACAATGACATTATCCCACCTCTGTTAAGTCGTGTAGGCAGTTTGAGCAGCTTTGGATAAGACTTATGATCCTGCCCATCCACGAGCATGGAGTGCATTTGCTTGTTCAGCTCTTCTGCGCATTCGTCCTTGCAGCGCTTGGACGACATGACAACAGAATGATCCGCGCCAGGTGGGGCGCGGCGTTTATGTGCGTGGTGGGACGGAGTTGCCAAAATGTTATTTATTAATTACGATTTTGACTTCTGTTTATTCGGGTCCCCGGGGTCCCTCCATAAGGTTCATATGTTCAATTAATGTCTCCATTGGAGCCACCTTTATGGATGTTATTTTTTTTGTTCTTAAGGGACACAACAGTTATTGATGCTATATCTCACTTGGTTTTAGCTTCAGTTATGTCACCGTGGTTTTCAGGCAGTTTTTTTTGTTATCAAGTTTCTTATATTCTATTTAGCAGTGTGTGCCCAAATGTACATGTGGCTTGCTTTGTGTTTGTTCAAGTGATACCAGATAAAATGTGAAACGTATGCTTCACTGCAAACTGGTGGCATCCGTTCTAAAAGCCATGGTATATGTGCAGGCCTTGTCTTACTTTGTAGCTGTAGTAACTGCATTTTTTTGGCCTGCAAAATTACAAAATTAAGACGTAATTCCAGCGGATAATGTTTGCTGTCTGATGGATGCACAGGACATGCAAACTTGCACCTAAAACGAGAGAGGCATGATAGAATCCATCCCAGCACCTACAATAATTATTCAAATCACAGTTCCTGAGCACAGACCCATATGTCAAAAATGTCAAGCAGCCAGCAATGCAGGTGTAATAAAATATAAGTGAGTTCGTTTCTTAAATTAAGCAAGGTTATAAGAACGATGGGATGGGATGGAATTCCATAGCACTTAGTATGCAACATATTCCAGTTAGGTATTGGCAGATTTCACATCTTCATGCATGTTTTTGTTTCGTCACTGCAGATCTTGATGTGAACGATCACGAGGTGCAGCAGGCCAACGTGCAGGGCTTTGTGGGCTGGCTGTCTCGTGTTCAGTTTAACTCTGCTGCTCCACTCAAGGCTGCCCTGAGGCAGCGATCGCTGGACTCCTCTTCGCCTGCTCCCTTCGCCTCCCCAGTGTTTGTGCAAGGGTGGCTGGTGGAGTCCACCTGCATGGCATTACCCATGACCACCGTGCCCCCCACCACTAGCACGGACCTCTGGTCTCTGCCGGGTAGGCGCCTTTACCCTTGTAATGTGCTAGTGTAGCACACTCGCCTCTAAGCTCTCCAACCTTGGTTGTGCTCGCAGGATACTTTGATGGACAGCTTGATGACTGTCACCCCCCCCCCCAACCACAAAACATACTTATTTAAAGATCATGTTATACAAATCGTGCAATCCCAGCTTTGTAGATTTTCAGAATTACTACTGTAAAGCAATTATCACAACTTTACATTTAAAGCCAATTTTGATGTAATCAATATCAAAATTGCTGTGTTGATGTCAGTTTATGTTGTTTAATAGGCATATACAGTGTCTCGTTCGGCAGAGGTATGTTTAGCTTGGTTGTGATTGGCTTTAAAACCGAAATGCTCCTTATTTTTATTTCACTTTTAAATTTACAAGAGTAATAACCAAAATTAAATCTTGCTGCGCTTGCTAATGTATTCCACCCTGATTATAAGCATTTTAAATGTGTAATATAATAAATTATTTAACACACATGAAACACAATGAAAGCATACTACTTAGGATATTCACCTACTAGTTCATGAAGCCTGTCTTCGCCAGGGAAACTTTTCAATAAATATAATTAACCTTATATGATTTTTTACAAATTTTATCTACGATCAGACACTACTAACAACTCCAAAAATTAGTATTTTTCCGCAAAAAAATAACAAAAATTGACGACCATCGTGAGGTGCTAAATTTTTAGATTTCGTAATTTTTGTATTAGTTAGAATAACAAATATTGAATGTAATACTCTCATGAGGGGCAGCTCCTGTCTTTTCCAGTTTTCGAATTATTCAGATTTGAACATCATAAAATGCTATTTTTTTCGTTCAAACCGGCTTGAATCCAAAATATCTCAAAAACAATAAACGATAGAACCAATGGTTTTCGCTTTAATTATATTTGCTGCTTAATGCTCTATCAAACTTAAAAAAACGCAATCTTATATTTTAAACGGTTTTTAAATGACATGTACAAACATGTTTACGGAGCAATTAAAATCGAGATTTGGGGGCCTTAAAGTGAAAAACTTCGGATTTTCAGATTTTTCCTATTGTGTCCTAAAAGCTACCTATGTACAAAATTTAAGCTTTATACCTTGTCGGGAAGTACCCTAGAGGTTTTTGAGACATACAGATTAAGGTCTTTATTTATCTAGATTATTTAACCAAATTGTTGGCGAGACGTTAAATACCATGCCTGGTATGCAGGAGGTCGTGGGTTCAATCCCGACCCTGACGCTTGTTTATTTGGAGTTTGCAGATTCTTCCTGTGGCCGCGTGGATTTTTTTCCAGGTCCTCCGGTTTTTCCTTCCCCATTTAGAAACATGCTTTTGGAGTATTTGGCTGCAATAAATGTCCAGGTGATAAGCCACTTCGTGGAGCTATCATTTCTGACCAGGTCGCTTCTAAAAAAAAGCTATATACAGTGAGGGAAAAAAGTATTTAATCCCCTGCTGATTTTATACGTTTGCCCACTGACAAAGAAATGATCAGTCTATAATTTTAATGGTAGGTTTATTTGAACAGTGTTCCTTACGTTTCCATTCTGTCATCAGTCTTGTATCTGTTGTCATCCTTCAAACAATGCGTTCTGTCAAAGCCCACTTGCATTTCTTAAGTCAACATGATGCCTTGAATCTGCTCTCTATCCCCCCATGTGTTTCTTTTTCTGTCTCTTGTCATGTGGTTTGCCCTCGTAAAAAAATGGTTAATTTCTTCATACATTTGGTCTACTTCTGCGTCTTCATGGTGTGTTGTTGTAGCCTTTATTTGCATTATCTCTAACTTTCAGCACAAAGTATGACGGTATTTTTCATTCCAAATTTGGCATGTTCTTTCACTTTTCCTTATGATTCAGTGACAACTTCATTTGTGTCAGGAGGAGATGGGAAACCCCAGAGCAGCCCCATCAGCAGCAACACGGCCATTGTTGGTGGTAAGGCTTCAGACACTCGTACATAGGCACAAAAACAAGGAGGATCTCACATATCAGCAGCTTAGACTGCGGTACGCATACCATTTTGTGGTGCACTGTCTTTTTTGTGCTGATAGCTGCCGTCAAATTGTTTTCACTTTTCTTCTGCTTTTTTTTACAAAGGAGTCATTGCCATGTCCATCCTGGTGATCCTGTGCATGCTCGTGGGCATCGGCCGGTACCTGTTTCACCACAAAGGCACCTATCGCACAAACGAAGCCAAAGGCCTGGAGGCTGCCTCTGCAACGCTGCAGAGTGAAGACTCCAATTTCCCGGAGAGCCTCGATGAGAGTAGGAAGGAGTACCTAATTTGACGAACACTGACTCTCATTCTAGATTTGAAGTTTTCGTGACTGCTAGGATCCATACTCTTTGGTTCTTTCGATAAAGTCACATAGGTAAAAATAAAATAAAATATAAAATAAAAATAACTAAATCACGACCTTTCGGAAGGCAACACAAGCTTCAGTCATCAGGTGGGACAACCACAGAATTTTTTTTTTACTGTAGTGGGCAGAGAGAGGATGTTATTAATATGATAATATCCTAATTGCCTCGGGGCTACAGTAAATAACAGCTGAACCCCCACCCCCGACTCGATACGGCACCCCCCCCCCCTGCATCCCTCCTCCCTGGCTCTTACCCGAAATAATCACTTGTCACATACAGCTCTCTCTGCTCACTACAGTAAAAAAAATTGTTGTGGTTGTCCCACCTGATGACGAAAGCTTGTGTTGCCTTCGAAACGTCGTGATTTAGTTATTTTTTATTTTATTTTTACCTACGTGACTTTACCGAAAGAACCAGAGTACTGACTCTCATTCAACTTCTCCCCTTCCACCAACTGTATTGTCCCTATGATGGCTTTCGTGTCACCCACTCAACCACATGCAGTTTCCCTTCTCTCTTGACACTCTGCACTCTGCACCTCCATCTCCGTGGCATTCTTTTCCCTTTGCTAAGGATATTAACTGTGTATTAAAATGAAGTGCTATTGTGCTTTTCTCATGAGATTTTGAGCAAATGTTTACTGTAATTTCTGAAATGTCCCCAAATGCATTTTGTTATTATAATGTTATCTAGTAATAAATAAACAATATTTGTTCATCAGACATTGCACACATTGTTTTTGCATATCACAGATAATCACAGATCCACCAGAACATGAAAACATTTTCGCTTGCTTCATATATGTGTATCACTTAAAGGCCTCAATAAAAAATCAGACATTTTGCTCCTGTTGTACCAATACCACGAAACCGATTTTCCTCTATAAGATGCCATCATCACCGTTGGAAGTTGTAGATCTATATCCACAAAATGATAGTTTGTAATGTGTAACCTTAAAAGTGTTACGTTCGAGGATCCTTTTAACTTGCGTATAAAGTATATATTTTAATCTCAAATAGGTCATAACAAGGTTCATACAATCAAAAATAATATTTTAGCTACTAAAGGTTGTAGAATAACTTGTTTTGTGTGTTTAATCACGATTTATTTTTAATCACACACCAACCTAATCTGGTTTATGCCAATCTATTTTTACATCCATTGCATTCAATATATGAAGTAAGATTTGTATTATGCAGAAATTAGGTTTATTTTGACCATTCACCTCACCTCTTCCTGTAATATTACTGCACAAGCAGCAGATATTCATGGTGAACACAGATCAGGTATTCATGGTGAATACAGATTTTGTCGAAAATATGGGTGAGAAAAATTGCCATTTTAACGAAGTCTTGGGTCTGGTTATAATTTTTATTACATGGTTTCTTATCGTTAATATCAGCAACTGCAGATTCAGGGTTTTAATTGCAACTAATCGAACAATAAAACAATACTTTCCAAAAACATTGCGATCACTAAAATAACTGGACCCATGACTCAGGATCTTCGTTGGTATAGCCTTAAATATTTGCTTTTTATTTAGTAGAATTGTCCAATTGCTTTAAGACAAGTTATGTACTTAAATCTGCTATCTGCTGCTGACTTTTAGTCATTCATTTTCATAATTAAATGTTGGACGGCACAAGAGGTGTGGTTGTTGCACTTTTGTTGAGTATACACGAATACATTTAAACAGACATGTTTAAATGAAAAATGCATACGCAGTCGTGTAATGGGTGCTCATGAATAATTAAAATAACAGGATTTACCATGCATCATCTGAAAAGCATGTTTACATCAACTTAATTTGTTTCGAAGATGCTTCGATAACCGCGTGCAATTGCACTTACTGAAGCAATATTCACATGTGCGTGAACTGGATTAACTTGTGCTGATTGTGACACATTGGAGTTCATCACTGCGGAGGCTCTGGTGCTTGTAAGTGGGTAGTCGAAGCAGAGTTCAGTGTCCTGCTGGTGTGGCCATCACTACCAGTGACCACATCCCATTGGGTCACCAGTAAAGTTAAGGCAATTTGCATATAGAATGTATGTGTAAATGTATTCAGAATTTATCATGCTAATTTCTCAAAATTTGTTTGCCAATTGTTTTATCACATGTTTAATATGGTAGGTGTCCTATTTATATTACATACTAGCAGAAGTACCCGGCGTTGCCCGGGTGAAAAATATATTTCTTAATAACCTTACATATATACACAGATGGGCTGCTACCCCTGCCCCCCCCCCCCCAGCCACGATCTCCTCGGCCGCTGTGCAGTAATATGTACGGCCTATAGTGTGGTGGGGTGTCGAGGCCTAGTACCGTGCAGAGCCTCCGGCCTCGCCCAAATTGCCCACCCGGCTGAGGCTGGGTACAGGGGCCGTTAACCCCCCCCCCCCACGCGCTACAATAATACTGTCTAATCGCTATAATTTTATTATCTACCGACCCTATAATAGTAATTGCACACATGGGGGGGGGAGTGAAGATGACGTGAAACTTTGATGAATTTACCTCAGAGTCGCGTGTTAATGCGTGCGCATATTTTTAACGGGAATTAAAAATGGCGTCCACCCCGCAGCAAATGCGTCGCTACCCGTTGCCAGGGGCAACCGCCGTGGAAAACCAAACGGACCAATCGCGTCTCGCAAATCCCTCACATTTCGTCCAATGAAACTGCGTATGGTCCGGCGACACACAGACAAACAGACACACAGACAGACAGACAGACATACAGACATACAGATTTGCGATTTTATATATATAGATATCATTTGGATTTTCAATATGAATCATTTGAATGTTTCTAACATCGAAACATTTAATCATCTCAAGATATTCTTAATGCCTTTGCAAGGTGAAATTAACACGTTTAAATTGGAAACAGGCATATATCCAATGAATGGTATGAAGTTTATGCACGTGTGATGTAAGTATGCTGATTAAGCTCGGCTTCGTTGTCTAGGGTGGTATTATCAATCGGGATAATACAATGATTCTCGCTTTAACTTTGACTGATTATGTCTTAGTGTTTTTATGTCAGGTCTCCAAATTCAGATCTCTTCGCAGAATACAGTTCTCATAATCAAGATTATTATGCATGAACTTAGGAAAGCACCACTCAGACACTTCTGAAACATAGCACTCTAATATGCGAACTCTTATGTTTGGAATGTCAACACAGTACTCCTGGAGATGTCCTCCTCATTGCTCCACACATTTAACCCTCAATGATCACGTTTGTTAAACTGGATAACAGAACAATCGGTTAGTTCCTCAGAGTAAAGTGAGCATACACGGCGATGGGGAAAAGTTCTTAAAAATGAATGTGACAATATTCATGCAAACAGCAATAATTAATTCATTGGTACAGTTATGCAATTAACAAAAAGAATGACTAAATACTTCTAAACGACCATATCCACGTAACTCAATGGGCAGCAATGTTTCATGATCAGCTAATAGTTGACGCACCACCTTAGGATGGCCACCCTTTTTGAAACACAGAGATAACTTTGGAGTACTCTTATTAGTCCCGATATGTGTGTTATGTGTGTGTGGGTGGATTGTCTCCTTACTCAACTCTTCTCGTTAAGCAGACGTCGAGGTTGGGCGTTTCTTGTACCAAAAATGTGTTCCCTGTGCGATGAGTGGTGTGTGTGCGTGTCATACACACGGCGCTCTCGCTCTCCGCGTCAGCTGCAGCTGCTTGTCCACTGCTGGATGAGCCGAGTCGGCACGACGCTTGTCTTTGAAGGTGCTCTATCGCGCTCGCCACTCGTCCGCAGGTCGCTGGGGCTGGTACTTTTGCTCGGTGCTCTCTGGTGGTGCACGATTCCATCGCAGCTCGTTCGCTGGTGGCAGACACCTTTGCTCGGTGGAGCTGGTTGCGCTGGTTGTGCGCTCTCTCCGGCTCCGTGCTTTATGGCAGTGCACGATTGTGCTCGCAGCTCGTCCGCTGCGGCTGGTCCTCTGCAATGCTCGCTTGGTCGATGCTTGGTGCTTTCCGCCCTTTCTCCAGGTTGATTTTTTGTCGTTGCTCGTCACTTATTTCTCTTTCTCTCTTGCTTTCCCCTTGATCGTGCCACTGCTGGGTGGGAGCTGGCACTCAATGTAGAATAAACTTTGAGTGATACTTCGTCTGTCAGCGCCGAACTCGTACTCGGTGACACATCGCGACTCGGCAAGCCTCGCCATTGTGATGCCGCCGCCACGAAGCCGTTCAGCAGGCGCCCCATCTACGACCTCGCCACCACCAAGCGACGGAGCCGACCCCGTGTCCCCCTCACCTCACCTCACATGAACACACCCGCACGCATTCCCCCCCCCCCCCCCCCCCATAGAGCTCCGAGGGGAGGTCACCTGACCGACCGGTTTTTATCCGAGGAGCCCTTATCGGGATTAACTTTCACGGTTTCCGGCGACCAGGGAATTGGACGCCCTCCCCCGACGCTACTTTTCACCGCAGCACCGCGACCGGCCTTAAGATGGTATGGTCGCAGCGAAGGGCATTCGGCCACCGCGGTTGAAACGCATCCCCCCACACACACCCCCACGGGTCGACGAGACAGGCAGAGGAGGGACGGGGCGGCATAGTTTAGTGTGCCAAAGCGGGCTCGAGTGCGTAGGTGCCATTGTTAGGGAAGTTAAAGGATAAGGCAGGAATTGCAAATAATCAGAGAGGCGACTCGGGCGCATAGTGCGTAATTGATGGGGCAGGTGGTGGAGACATGCGGAGGCTCCGCGCTTAACTTCCACAGCAGGCCGTTGTGATGGACGCCGCTGCATAATGTGCATGACCAAGGCGCCATGCATGAGAAAGGGATTAATTAGAATTACCGCCACGCACGCAGCGCATCTGATTAGCATAGCAAGGGCGCCCAGAACCGCCGCACGCGCGCTGACGGGCACACGCCCATTGTTAAAGAAAAACTGGGAGGGGGCCGCCACCACGCTGGGAGCCGCATCCCTTTGATGTAGGAAGGATAAAAAGGGGGCGCAAAGGGGAGATCTGGCTCTATTACTCCAGCACCAGGTGACAAGACGCTCTCCAGCCCAGCGACCCGGACGTCCGTGAGACGCATCGAGGTACACTGCGAGCACGGGATCAACGGACCGCCGTGGGCACCTAACAGTGAGTAAGAAGGCGAATTAGGATCATAGCCGATAAATAGGGAATAGGTCCAGGGGTAGTAGAATAGGCCAGCCTCGTCGATTCATACTGACTCAACAACCAGTCCCAGGTAGCAAACAATAAATCATTAATAGCCGATCGTGTCCCCGTGTGATCTCGCTGAGAAGTGGGAACGCGTGTGGTGCTGTGTACACAGCGGTTCGCCACGTGGGAGCGCTGCGTAGAGCGGCGCACGAGTGGGTGTCGCGTGTGTGCAGGTGTGTGCGCTCGTAGCGTGGGGGAAGGGGTCGGTGCGTCCATAGGTACCCGCTCCGTCTATAGCCGGAGGGACTCGCGCGGTGTGAGGGCAGCGTCATTCGCCCTCCGACCCCTGACCCCCGTTTAGAGCGCGTGATTGGTGGAGAGACAACGCAGCGTTTGCAGGTGAACGAGAGCGGGCGGCAAGCTATGTCTCTCACACGAGCTCGCGGAGGGACGGACCAGGGAGGGGAGCCGTCGGGCGATGAGCCCAGCGACGGCAGCAGCTGCTCGCAGAGCAGCGAGGGGTCGGCGAACGGCGGAGCCCCTGCCATAGGCACGGAGCAGGAAGGGACTTCGGGGACCAGCGGCCCCAACACCATCCTTAGTCGATTGCAGGGCCCAGCCCCGGAGCTTTGCCGCAGCAAGACTCAACTCTTTGCGTTGACTTCGTAGACTCAAGGCTTCTGCTGATGCAGCTCCCTCCTGATGTGCCTGTCACGGGGGAAGATTCCCGGAGCCTGCCGCTCGCAGTACTGAATGTGTGTGTCGTGTCTCTGTTTATATGGGAAATTCTCTACCCTGGCTCGCCTTCTCACAAAGGACCGGAATCCCTTTGATTTCGCTCTTTGCTGTGGGGGCAGTTGTTCGTCCGGTGTATGTGTAAGTATGTGTATGCGCTAACAGCACTTGCCCCTACAGTCTGTTAAGGCTATATGGGGGATCTTTGATCTTTGATGTTCTGATTGATTAAGCAATCTGTTAAGTCTCACCCTAAAAGCCTGGTTCCTGTCCCCCTCCTCAAGCCACCTTTTCATCAGTGGAAAACAGATGCTGCAAATTGCCCTTAGGTGTTTTCCTAGTTTTTCAACTTCTGTAATAATTAATCTGGAAGCAGGGAAGGTGTTCCTTTTGCCCGGTTGTATTCTTCCACCCCTCTTACCTCGTGGCTGGGTGTTACATTTTTGTCTATCTCTCCTGGAAGAAAAAAATCGGTTGGGAGGCTCTCTCTATGGAATACATTTTATCTTGGTCTTGTGTGATTGACCTATTTAGCCTTGTATCTCTTCTGGATGACCCTCGGTTTAATACTTCATAATTATTATTTGGTTTATGTTTCCCAAGATTTGTGATTTACCA